ATAAATCTTTATTAATCAACTCATTACCCAACTCATTACCCAACTCTTGATTTGTTTTGTTTTCATTTACCAGCCCGTTTCTCTTCATTGCCCCCCGCCCGACCATAAATAATGACCGGTCCCACTTAATAATGAAGAGCCCTTACTTGAAACGTGGACGTGTTTCCTTATCGTTTTCAGGTTTTCAACACACATTTTTGTTTGCCAGAATATAGCTTGCGGTTTTGAGGCGCTGAGGTTGTCCGGTTGAAGAGCATAGAGCTTTAAAGCGTGCGTGACTCCAGAATTAGCCTGTGGCCGGTTGTTCAAAGCTGGGTTAGCGGCTTAACCCTAGGTTAACCTAAAATTCAAAGCAAACTTCCTGACAGCTTGTCTATAAATTTGGAAAGATTTCTTCAGAGATCTTGTCTGCATCGATAGGAGTTTTCTTCTCTGAATAAACAGACATGCAGAAATACACAAACTAAAACAGCAGGTTAAAATTCAAACAGCTGTTCATTCCGAGTCTGCATTGCAGGTTAGGGGCTGTTCATTTAAAAGAAAATCCCAGAGCATGTAGTTTTGCCGAGAGAAAGGTATACGACTGACTTACAATAGCAGAAAAATAACCTCATTATTGAGCCACAAGTCGGTTAAATTCAGTTTTACCGGACTTTTTTTAGACAAATTCTGTATTGGAAATTACTCTGTAGTGTAGCTTTTCTTAAAGTTATCTCACTCTGAAATGTCCAACTGTCTTTATAATGGCATTTGTCCCAGTAACCCAAATCCCATTTTCCCATTCCAAAAATACGCAAATCCCATTTACGGATTTACCCCTTCAGGACTCTCATAAAAGTCCAAAATGACATTTCAAAATAGCTTTATAGTTTCATTCTATAGAGTAACAGTATACAAAGTTCATTCAAACTATCAGGGAAAATAATTTAGTCACACGATTCACCCCAGTTAGTTGGGCTAATGTCGGAAACTATATTTAGCTTTTTTATTATCGCGTGGGACATGCGAGTATACTCGCGGACAGTCGGACAGCTCCGGAATATACCGTTGAGAATGTTGACATGGCGAGGGATTCGGGAAAGAACACAGCGAAGCATGAGATTTTTGTCAATAAAACTATAGAAATACCCAGTGTTTGTAATTTTAATTTATGTTGGGAATCAACGGGAGGCAATTCTCAACAACTGGCACCTCCGTGATGGGATTTGTGAGATTTTAAGCTCGAACAAGAGCAAGAACCTAGCATATTTATCGAGTGACAAATCGAAACTAAACGACAGCGTACAAACTACAGTGATATACGGCCGCTATTTATCGAGTGATTTATTATATATAACTAAACAAACGAAGTGAAAGAAAAGCATGGAGACAAAACTACAAGAGCTTGATGGGAAACTACGAACATTAAAATTTACGTTGGGTAAAAGCGAACAAGAAATCGAAACGAGAAACCTCGATGTGATAACTAGACACGAAGCGTCAATCAAAGGTAAAATCGAAGCGAGTCACGCCTTAAAAGATGACATTATAGAATTGAAATTCGGTCAGAAACAAACTGAAGAACAAGTGCAAGAATGGCTTGTCGACATTGAAGGAACTTTGAAAACGGCCGACGAGAAATTGTTAGAATTAAAACGAATAAAAGAAAATATAGCGAAGGAAAACCAGGCCGTTGAATTGGCCGAATCAGTTAAACAAGAGAGGGCAATCGAGGACGGAAAGCACGAACAAAAAATGAGTCACGAACGTGAACTTTATGAACAACAGCTAAAGTTTCAGAAGGTGTTAGCAACGGGACAGCAAAACCAAGTAAAGAAAGCGGCGTCGACAAAATTACCGAAGCTATCTATTACGCAGTTCGATGGGAAATGTGCGAATTGGCCACCCTTTTGGAACAAATTTGTTGCTGAAATTGACGGTGCCGATTTGTCGCCTGTTACGAAGTTTACCTATTTGAAAGAGTTTGTTAAGCCGAAGGTGAGAGCTGATATCGATGGGTTGCCTCTAACGGTAGAGGGGTATGAAAGGGCAAAAAATATCTTAAAAGGAGAGTACGGCAAACCGAGCGAAATTGTCAATGCCTATGTCCAGAACATTCTCGAGTTACCAGTGGTGAAAAGTACTGATCCAGGTGAGATAAACAA